ACTTTCGAACTACTGCAAATTTTATAGCGACCCTCAAGGTCGCGCACATTCAAATGGTGACAGAAATGAACTAAGAACTTAGATGTTGAAGACAAAGTGAGGAATAAATACACTGTACCCATAACCATCTATATATAAGTATGCTATTGCAAGCTGAAATGGGGTTTCAAAATGAGGGTGATGTTGCACGAGTTTGGTCAACACCTGTATATATATGTATATATATATATCGCGTCATATGGTATCTAAGTTTCATCCGAGCAGAATTCGGCCCAACATGAAGCACTGATAGCTTCCGGACATGTGAGGTTTATTCGTTTTTATTATTTAGAACTTTATTTTTGCACACTAATCACCTATCCCTGTTCGTGTCACTGACGAATAAATTGTCAAAATTGAAACATCTTCCCGATATGAGGTTAACTAAAGAATACAGCAGCACAGTGTTACGCATTTTTTCCGGAAAGAATTCACTGTATCTCCTCAGGTTCATACTTCAGTCAAAGAATATAATGAAAACTAAGAAGTAACATTTACCGCGAATGAGCTGTTAGTGTTATCGTCGTCCATCTTTCTACCAAGATAGGGCTAGATTTGCAAATAACTCTTTCTGCTTGCACACTTCAGGCTTCCATCGTCCTATACCAATCGTCTCTGCAAACTGGAGCAACTGAGAGTTTTGCATGATGAGGACAGTTAAATGCCGCGGTCACGTTCACTTGATGCCCAGTCTCTAACAAGTGACATGCGATCAATGACGGTGGCGTGCGAATACATTGTATTTAGTTCTTCGAGTACTCGTTAACCTATATTTAACAGAACTACCCATACAAACCCTCTGCTTCGTTCGCCCTTTTTCGAATATTGTCACTCTCGATTTTTGGTTGTTCATTAATCGACCGTTCCTGACAGATAGGCGATTCGGATTACTTTACATTATTTTTTGTGTTCTCGTTTGAACACGGATCCATCGCCCCACATGATCGTTCGTCAAACAAAGGTTTAGATAGGGGATCTGGTGATGGAATAATTCCATTTTTATTTCGTAGAGTGGATTTATTCCCCATCTTTATAGAGTTACAGATACCCGAGAATAGGGCCAAACTACAAGTTCATTGCTTGATAGATCTCGCATTTATCCGATGTTTTTCTCAGGAACACTGGCTGCATTAGCTTTTTCCATGGTAATTCTGTACACTTCGGTTATCCTTTTATGCTTCTTTATGTTTCACTGCCTATGTTAGCAGAATGTCCTTATGGATGCTGCTTAATTGTTGTCGAATACTTGATGTGAAATACTTTTCATTTCCATTCTTGACCTACATTAAGTAAACAATACCGTCATCAGTTGCAAAGACGTGGGCTGCAACCAATTAAAAGCTCCCCGGAGATTTGGAGAAGTGGCGAAATGGCGTATCCAGAAGGTTTTGATACTACTCGGACACACCATCACCGAGCCATTTCGAGGATAATCTAAACCTTTAGCTGATTTCATTTCTTTCTCCTTTTCCACAAGTTCCCACTAGGTATTTCAAAGACGTTATTTTGAGTAGGATATCTATGCCTGAGGAATCATATCCCTATTCTGTTGTTCGAAGATGGTATTTAGGAGTCTGAATTCGAACATGCTCTGCCGGGATCCCTACTGAGTTATCGTTATATTCCTCTATTAAATTTTACACTCGTCTGAGTCCAGACTGTGTGCTAAATAAATTACTTAACAATGGTCCTAATATCAAAGAAGAAAGTCTATGATTTGCAAGAGATGCTGCAGGGTGCCCAGACCAATGCAGGTGAATTTTCTTGAGGATTCACAATCAGATCGTTCGGATAGCCAAAGCCTGATCCATAAGGCACTGGTTCAGTGTGTGAAAACAACAGTCCGTTGGGGGCCAGTGTCCAGTTCATCGGATTATTCGTCCTTTGGACATTGTCAGACGTCCAAGGTACCCAAATCAACTCGATGCCCAATCGAGCTAGCCTAACCAGGAAAGTGTATGCTTGTGGTTCATACGCCTCTTCTTGGTCGGTTTGGTTTGGTTTTTTTAGCCACCTCCCTTAGGTAAACTGCCAACTGTTCCCCGACCAAGTTATAGTCTAGGATATTGGCTTTTCCTCCTCCCACTTTGGTGGGAAAACACTTCGGCCACGGGAATGCAGTTAGTAGGTCTTCCTCAGTAGAGGCTATTTACGACGCTTGGTCGCACGGTGGCATTTCTTGAGGTGCAATCGTAAGCTGATCAACCACGATCCAAGGCACTCCGACTGAACTGAGGCTTCCGGTGGCATCGGGTTATCATGCTTTCAATACATAACATTTAAATGCTGAATTTCGTATCTGATTTTTTCATTCGTGGGACTCACAAGTTGGTTTTGTGATTTCAGAACACGGTTTTCCTCGTTCTAAGTTTTATCAATGTTGTATTGAGCTGAAATTTCCATTAGTCCTGAAATCGATCACATAAGTTTTCACTGCCCGGACCACAGTCTCCTTCCTTCGCCCTGGGAAGCCAAATTGCTACTTTCGCACATTTGTCAGAACGCAAATTATAACGATCAGTAATTTCAGTAATTTTCACACACACACACACACACACCGATACTCAGCTATGCAATTTATCCGCTCACTCACATAGTCTGTTTATTCATTTCCTATGCTGTTTATTGCTAGAAGCAACCGATTCGTCGTGTAATGATGTTCATCACAACGGTGATCAGTTCCAATGGGAATGCAATCCTATAAGCGACATTTTCAGAGAATATTACTAGAGAATCCAAGATTGTCTTATATGGTCCATGCCAGTTCACGGACTGTGTATTGTTGTTTTCCTGTGGGTCTCACTTCTCGGAATCTCCCAACCCAAAAGCATCATTATGGCAATCCACGGCATATAAAATAAAATAATGCAAATTTCTGACGTTTATACGGGATATCTGAAGAAAGGTTTCAGTCTCACTTGAAAAATAATCTGCGAACGGTGCTTTTTCGTGCGACAGTTTTGGTTACTGTCCTTGTGCTGTCCATTTGAACGAAGCAGTAGACGGAAAGACTGGGGTGTTGAAAACGTTTTCAAGGTGAAAGTAAACAATTCATGAAGACGAAGGTTGTGAGAACATTGTATAGATGCACGAGCGCCTCTGTTTACTGCGCTCAGTGTTTCTAATCCTCTTTTCGCTGATCCCCATCTAGGAAGCACGACGTGACTTGTGTTAGCTAGTCTCCTAGCCGGGGTTTTATACCTTCGTGCGAGGTTTTAGTTTGAACACCTTTTACTCTTTTCTAGCTATTAAATACCTTGCTTAATATCGCGTTTTGTAGCCATATGAAGAGAGGTAAATCTTTTAGATGGTGAATATTTAGATTAGCCCATTCGGTTTTTCACAGGCACCAGAGGTAAATCTGTTTCTTTCCTTGTGTGAAAACGCCTTTACTTTGGGATACCAAACAGGTTTCTTTTCATTTATGAGACTACTATCTAGTAGGATATCCGGCGTGCCTCTTCAACGTCCCTCGGTTTTAGTCGTGCTTGTGGTTTAAAACAGATTTGATATACCCGGGTTAGGTTCATTCCTAATTTCGTTCTTGCGCCACGCTCTCACTTTCGGCTATCCATTTGGTCGATCAATAGGGGCAGAGTAAATGAAACAGCTGAAAGCTAAAAGTACTGTCAAAATGACGATACAGTAAACTAGTAGGCAAGATCTGCACAGAACAAAAGCACCACCATATACATTTAGCCATATAGTACAGTGTATCTAATCGCTGATTAGGTTCATTATGTCTGTCAGTCTATCATCATATCTCATTCCACGAGAAACAGTTGTAAAACCGCCCGAGCTTTTATTGAAAGCACCAGAAATCTGTGCTAAATCATGGAATAGCGTGCTATTATTATAGAGTTGCACACAGCGTAGATTTTCCCCGAACGGCAAATACGGGAGCATCGATGGAGCGAATCCATCGATCGGATTATGGTATTCTCTCCGTTATCTTGGTGTCCACGAATCCAGGAACATGAAGAAAACACCCGAAATTTCCCACGGCAACGCTTGTTTCTAGTCCGTTTACCATTTAGTCTAAAGAAATTTTTAGAACGAATTCAGTTTACCCTGACAACGTTGGTTACAAGTTCCTTGACCAAAAAGTTAGATCTAACCTATTTGACTCACAGTCCAGTTCAAGTTTTTATGCTCTGATTCCAGCCCTTGTTCTGACCAACTTGCACTCATTACTGACCTCGGCAAGCTTCACACGCCCAGGAAGCCTATCAGACGATGTGTTGCTCTCTTAGTGCGTCGTAAACTTCTGTCGCGGTGATATTTTGTACCGCTTACATTGTTATGGTTGACTCTGTCTATCTGAAATCGGAGCTGAAAACATCGTTTTAAAATGCTTCAAACTGACCCATATTTTGTGATCTCGGTGGATAGTCATTTGACAATAAGGGTTTTTGAGTCACAAAATACTTTTTGTTGAAAAATCGTATTATCTATTCCGTCCGCTGTTTACGGAGATGGCGCAACACGAAATGGTGTTGCATGAATAACTGAAATGGGCATCTCTGCAACGGTTATCGTGATACCTCGCAGTCGAATTTTACTGCATTTTGCGGTATATTTTCTCCATATCTTGGTTTATTCATTCGGTTAACTAATTTATTTGATCGGTTCATCCTCATTGTGACTTTGGTACTTTGAATTTTAAAGTTAGTATGGCTAAGTTTTTCTCTAGAACGTACTTTCATCATACTTCTTCATTAAACCGTTTCAGTATATGTATAAGCACCACAATTAAACTAACTTCTCGTAACCGATGAGGTGTTTCTTTTAGTATTTTGACTTGTCTTTTTCGGCTGAAACATGTCTATTTTTTATTATCTATTTTGAGAATGATTTACTCCATCACCGGAACTTGTAATTATAACCCCCCTCATTTCTCTCTGTCTCCTTAGCTTCGGCATCGACCACCGCATTTGTTGAAACGACGTCCATTCTCAGAGTCCCCGTCCACCACCGGGACACCCTACTGGAATGTACCGCATCCACCCGCCACCGATCCATTTAAACCGATGATTTCGACCACCGCTCGTCCAAACGCCGATCTTGATGCTGTTTTTGCGTGTCTCATCGAAGTGGATCGGAACGATACAAATGTTTGTACGGGTAATGTGTTTCCTTTACCCGTGCACAAAGGACAGGTTAGCCCACTTTATCTTTGTATTTCTATGCGGTACTTTTGTGAGCGTTTTCCATGCATTTCGATATGCTGTCAAACTTTGTAAAACTAGCAGTACTGTGTACCCTATTTGTGCGTACTCGAGCGAGATAAGTTACGATGGAACTTTTGTAGATGATATTCCGGGAGGTTAAGAAAACGCATTGAAGTGTGAAAGTGACACTTAGAGAGATCGGCCTGCTGCGGACGGGTGGGATCAGTAAGGATTTTCCGTGCAAATTTTCCCCAAGTATAGTTCACAGTTTTGCCGGTAACTCATCAAGACTCATAAAACCTACATACGCCATCGGTTAGCGACAGCCTGCGCTGAAGAATTTTGAAATGTTCCCTAAACAGACCAGCATAAACTGCAATACGATGAATCATTCTGCATTGGATGTGAAGGGGTCCCGGAGTATCGTGCTGACCAAAGCTGAACAAAGGTTAGGGTGTTGACTACCAGGCTTGGTAAGTGTATCTATGACGAGAGTATGAAACACGGCTAGCAATTGCTAAGCCGCGGTGTAAACCTTTGAAGGAAGTCCTGTTTTAGTAAGCTGGGACAATTGAGAAAGAATATTATAGCATTACATGAAGAAAAAAGAAAAAAGGACCACAGATTCCGCTAAT